ATCTTGCATCAGTTCATTTCCTTCCTATTAAAAAGCCCATTTCCCCAAACCTCATGCCAGGTTTGTTTCCTCGTCCCCATTCCCATTTGTCAGGCATTCAGCTATTTCCTCTGCTAAATCATCCAATTCTGTCGGCCTAAAGCCTCTATTTAAGCTTGCTATTTACTTAACCTTCACTGTATCAGGATGAGGTGGTTTCGGCTTCATCCTTGGCCACTTTATTATTTTCTTTACTGCAGCTTAGTCGCCTCTTGAACTCCACTGTAGCTCAGGTAATTCTCATCATGCGTGCCATATCCCGGTGGGCTCTTATTGCTGCCAGAAGCAGTTATTTACACTCTCTTTCTGCATTTTTCGTTGCCACTGAAACACAACCCCTGACAGCGTTCAACCTGCTGCAATCTCCCCTTCCCTTTTAAAAGATGAGAATTAGGATGTAGTTTATTTCTTCCAGCTGTAGCTGGCCCACTGTTAGTCTTATAGAAAATTGCCATGTCTATTGAGTGTTAGCCAGAACAGGCACTCAATTTGGATTTGCTAGTGCCATTGTGTTAGAGGGCAGGACAAAGGGAGGAGAAAACTCCGTGTTTAGTAAATAAGCCCAGCAAAGAGAAAGGTTGAGTACCATTTTCTACCTGATGTGCCCATTTACTACATGTAAGACGTTTTTGGCATAGATAGACACATTCAAACATTTCCACCCACACTCGGGTAAACAGTCCATATTTCTACCACCACCTAAAATCAAAGCCACAGAAGAGAAGGGGTTATGTACTCACACAACCTGTACCTTGTAATTCTTTTATGCTTATATCTCATTTTGTTAGCTCTGGGATTATTTGTATATCTTCCTCCTGTTCAGTGCTCTGTCTGTCTGTCTGCCTAACTGTATATTTTTGCCTTCAAGTCCTCTGTTGAAGGCTTTCATGGCTAGAATCACTGGGTTGTTGTAGGTTTTTCAGGCTGTCCGGCAATGTTCTAGAAGCATTCTCTCCTGACGTTTCACCTGCATCTGTGTCTACAGACAACGTCGGGTCTTCGGTTTAGAAATGGAGATGAGCATCAATCTCCAGAATCAAACACAACTGGACTTAATGCCAGGGGAAAACCCTTACCTTTACCTACCAGGCAATCTGACAGACAGAATCTGCCCATATGATCCAGAAGATAGGTTCTTCTCTCAGCCCTACCACTTCCACACAATCATGGCATGGTTGTAAGGAAGATCCTTTTTGGTAGACCAGAACAGTTCCTCCTGACTGTACTCCTGCCAGAAGGCAAACATTATTTAATTGCAATAGGCTTTTAAAACTAAAAGAGAAGAGTGCTTTATGTCTTTCAACCAGTAATTCCCAAGATCTAGTCCTCCAGGTGTTTTTGATTTCAACTTCCAGCTGCCTTGGCCAATGATCAGGGAACTGGTGCTATGTAACTGGAATCCAAAGCACCTGGAAGACCAGAGTTTGGGGAGTGTTGCTTTAAGTGATGTTTTTAGCTTCTTTTAATCATCATTGTACTGATATTGTTAGTAGTGCAAATCTCTTTTAGTGTTGACTTTTTGTATTGTTTTAACTATATTGTAATCACTTTAATTCATAAACTGTGTTGACTCCCAATCTTGAGGGGAAATCCATACATATTTATTTGCAGAGACATAAATAAAGGTTATAAATAAAGGGGATAGTGATGATAATGATGCTGATTTAAAATTATCGTGTTCTGTGTTTGAGCTATGCCTGTTCCTTTCCTTGCTTTCCCCTATTATGTCCGACAACCTGGACATTGCAAGGTCATTCTTAGTCAACAAAAGCAAATAATAATAGGTGTTGGCACCCCACCTGCTTGCTGACATTCTTGGTTCACTTATGAGTCACAGTGAGGTAAAAACCCACCTGAGGCAAAACCCGCCATTGCTGCTTGCCTGGTTGTTTATTCTGGCATGAAGGATGTGAATCCAGATTTTTGCACCTGCCAAGAGGTTCTGACCCTCTTTCAACTGCAGACAAAAGAGGGATTGCCCAAGGAGGTTTGCTGAATGTGTAAACAAGCTTATACCAGAAGGAAGCCACTACCTTCCATTGCTGTTCTCGGAGCAGATGAGGGCACCATCCCTGTTTGTTTGCAAGATCGAGTTCAAATCCTGCCATATGTCAGTGTCTTGTGATTTTGCTTAAATATTCTGGATTCACATTGACAGTGAAAAGCCTGTAGAGATTTGTGTATTACAGGCTTTTCCCCCTCTCAAACCTAACATTTCAGTGAACTATCCAATGCTTTTTTTCCCTAAAGAAAAAGGATTATGTAAAATTCTGACTAGCAGAAGGGGGAGAGGGAATCGCATTCTTCTCACCTCTTCACAGTTCACATTCATATATTTAATACAAGTATTGTACTTGCTGGTGCCACACTAGAGAGGCTGTCATCTATGACAACCTATTACAGAGATCTAGCACAACCAGAGTCTTGTGTGATGTGAATGAACCTATACAAACCTCAAACAGACACCTACTTTCTTTTTGTCACTTCCTCTGGCTTCTTATATCATCTGGATAATGTCAACTTTGAACAAGATGGCTACACACCATGGGTGATAAAGATCATGTTTTCAAGTTTATCATCTTTATATCTAAAATCTCAGCCTGCGTTTGTTTGTACTCACAAAACTTGGAAAGTAGTCAGTAGATTGACTTGGCATTTTGACACACACGTTTTTATAGTAAAATGAAATTTTGACATAATGTTGCATTATGTATTTAGTGTAAAACTAGCAGTCCAGGAATAGACATAGTGGAATCTGTGATTCCCAAAACCATCGCTCATAGCCTAGCTTTCATGTTACCTCAGCAGTATAAGAAATGAAAACTGAGCTCTAGCAACCAATCATTGCACAGCTTTCCTTCTACCACAGCAGTACAAGAGACAACAACCTATCACAGAGCAGCTTTCATTTTACATCAGCAGTAGAAGAAATAACAACAAAACACGGTGCAGCTGTCAAGTCACTTCAGCAGTAAAAGAAATGAAAGCTGAGCTGTGATTGTTTGCTATTGGAATACCACTCATTCTGACCATCATGGCATTCGAGTACTAATGACTTCAATTTCCAATACGCCTTGCATTTACTATCAATAAAGTGCAGGGAAAATTTTTGCAAGTGTGCAGTTTGAAATTAAGAAAGCAATTGCTTTTCTCCTGGGCACTTATATGTCACATGTTCCAAAGTCGGTAACCCGTCACATCTTTATGTTTATGCAGAAAATGGACAAATCAAAAATGTAGTCAATCCACTAGTTTTGCAATTAAAAATGTTTTATGTTTTAAAAAACCCATCTTATTCTTTCCTTTCCTTTCATTACACATAGACCCAGCAAGGCAAGGGTATTGAATTGGATGATGTGTTTTCTCAGTGAATCTATGTTCGCAGGAAGACTTTTATTTACTATCTCATTCATTTCATATCAGACTGAGCATGGTTGGATTAAGTTAGTAGTTAATATTAACCTGGAATATGGAACTTATAAGTTATCCCATGTTAGCTGTCACTGAGGGGTAACCAGAAATGAACAATATTACTTTGCAAAAGCAATACAAGTAAGGGGAAAATTATGTTACTAGTATATCAAATTATTTCCCAGCTATTTTCAAAAGTTAACTGTACAAAGAAATATTGACTCAAATTTGTTAGGTTTTATACAATTTCTTTATCAATAGTAAGACTTCACTATATTGTTTCACTGCATTGTTAGCTGCATTTAATAACATGCAAGGGTGCATCTATACTGTAGAATTGATACAGTTTGACACCACTTTAACAACCATGGCTCAATGCTATAGGATCACAAGAGTTGTAATTTGATGAGGCACCAGCACTCTATGACAGCGAAGGCAAAAGACTTTGGAAAACTACAGCTACCACAATTCCACAGCATTGAGCCCTGATGTTGTTGTTCATTCGTTCAGTCGTCTCCGACTCTTCGTGACCTCATGGACCAGCCCACGCCAGAGCTCCCTGCCGGCCATCACCACCCCCAGCTCCTTCAAGGTCAGTCCAGTCACTTCAAGGATGCCATCCATCCATCTTGCCCTTGGTCGGCCCCTCTTCCTTTTGCCTTCCACTTTCCCCAGCATAATTGTCTTCTCTAGGCTTTGCTGTCTCCTCATGATGTGGCCAAAGTACTTCAACTTTGTCTTTAGTATCCTTCCCTCCAATGAGCAGTCGGGCTTTATTTCCTGGAGGATGGACTGGTTGGATCTTCTCGCAGTCCAAGGCACTCTCAGAACTTTCCTCCAGCACCACAGTTCAAAAGCATCTATTGAGCCCTGATAACATCATAGAATCATAGAGTTTGAAGAGACCTCGTGGGCCATCCAGAACAACCCTCTGCCAAGAAGCAGGACAATCATGTTCAAAGCATCCCCAACAGATGGCAATCCAGCCTCTGTTTAAAAGCCTCCATAGAAGGAGCCTCCACCACAATTTGGGGTAGAGAGTTCCACAGTCAGAAAGTTCTTCCTAATGTTCAGGTGCAATCTCCTTTCCTGTAGTTTGAAGCCATTGCTCTGTGTCCTAGTCTCCAGAATTAGAATTCTAGAATCTAGAATTAACTGCATTAATTCTAAAGTGTAGATATACCTGAAGACAGAAGGTGACTTAACAATTTCAGCTACTATTGACTACTTTTCAAGAGAGTAATGAACAAGGGAGTAAATTCCTTCTATAAAATATAATTTTCCTAGCTGTGCATTAACCACGGTTTAGGGTTTAGAGATCATATGAAACAGTGGTTAATGGAAATCAGGAATGAAAGCTGGAAGCCAAGTCTTGCCAAGACTCATTTATGTGGCATTAAATGTGTTAATGTGATGCTGAAACAAGATGCAAATCTGATCATGGAAGGGCAAATATGTGATGAGAAGATACAATGTAAACTTTCCAGAAGAGTATTGGACCCTGTCCAACAGCTCTCATCTAACCCATCTGCTTTTCATTATGAGCTCAGGAGACTTTCTGTGCATGTTCTGGCATGATAGAGAAGCTGCAGCATGCCAGCCTGCTTGGCCGCTTGCAGCGTGTCAAGGAGCAGTCCCAAGTGATCAATCAAGCCATGGCGGAGCTTGCCACCATCCCCTACCTCCAGGACATCAGCCAGCAGGATGCTGAACTGGTAAGCAATCACGGATGCTATCCTTGTTTTGGCTTTGGTGGTCAAGGAGAATATTACGTATTTTCACTTTCCCCAGGCATCCCTCCCTTCTCCCGCAAGTATTGGAAGCTTTGAAAACATAAACACATCATTTTGGCAGAGCTAATGGCCAGTATGGATGTAGAAGTGTCAAAATGCAGGATTATAATTAAAGTGAACACCCATCAGAGGCCTACCATCACTGTGACTCTTTTTAAAAATACATAATAAACCATGCACATTGTGCACAGTGCTGTTCGCATTCTATAGCATAAAGGCACATTTGGAAGCACATAATAGCAAAAAATCTGCACTATGACTTTATCCTAGTACTCTAATTTCTGGTTTATTCCTGTGACTTGGTGAGTGTGGCCAGAAAGCACACTCAACAAAACACTGACTTAATGCTGTTTCTCCTTCAAAACTTCATAATTTCCCAGACTATTTTTAGGATGCATTGCTCCCTTAAGCTTCCAAATGCATGAAAACTAGGGTTGTCACCTTTTCATGGGAAATCCATTCTCTAGGACTGGGGAACAAAATCCGAGGCAGAACACAGAAATTCAAGAGAAAGCTAGGCCATGCCTGATATTTATTAGCTTTTCAGATCTAATTACTGGTTATGAACAGACATAATCAGATCAGGATGATAAAACCGATTGCCCAGCAACCTTGTTCAAAACTATAAGGCCAATTAAGATTGCCCTGTGATACAAGTCTAGCAGAAGCACAGCAAACAGACTTTGAAAACAGGGTCAAGGAATTATATTCATTCCAATGGCTTTATTGGGAGGAAAAACCCAGTAAGCCAGACAATAGCATAATGGATGGACGCACTCTTCAATCCAGTGGTTCTCAACCTGTGGGTCCTTAGATGTTTTGGCCTTTGACCGCCAGAAATCTTAACAACTGGTACACTGGCTGGGATTTCTGGGAGCTGTAGGCCAAAACACCTGGTTGAGAACCACTGCTTTAATCTCTACTCCTATCCTGAGACCAATGAACCGTCCCTCTCCTTAGGTCATCATTACCAGTTTATCCAAGTGCAGAGTTCTTTTCCTCATTCTGCCTAGATATAAGTCCCTTCCTTAGCCCCTCACCAGTGGAGAAAGCACCTATGCCTGTGGTGCAGTGAATATGCTTCGGGTTGTAGTCTGAACTTTAAAGCAAATCCGAGGTACTGAGTCAGTGCCTTGGATGGTTCCTTGAAAGCTCAGAATAAAAATTGTCGCAGATTCACAGAAACATTGCCCCTCACCACCCAACTGGATAAGATATACATGGTTTTCTTTTCCATTGCTAACTGGAAGCAGAGAGTTCCCCCATCCTAACTTCCTTCCAATTTAGGGAATGGCCACTGAGAGAAGAGAAATGTGTTATCTCTGATCAGATAACAGCATGATTTCCTCACACAGCTTTTGTCTTCTCAGTTTGAAAACAAGTTGCATATGGTGCAACTTCCTTCACACCAGGGGTTAGAGCTTCACCAGATGAAACAGGACTTTGGGGAGAATGAGGCTAGAATAGACTGGTGGGTTGGGGTTTTTTGCCACTTACTTGCTGTGTGGTGACTTCCATATCAGTAGAACAGTGTATCCACTTTGGGATGTAGTCATAAAATCATGGAATCATAAAGTTAGAAGAGAACTTGTGGGCTATCCAGTTTAACCCCCTGCCAAGAAGCAGGGAAATTGCATTTAAAGCACCCCCGACAGATGGCCATCCAGCCTCTGTTTAAAAGCCTCCAAAGAAGGAGCCTCCACCACACTCTGGGGCAGAGAGTTCCAGTGCTGAACAGCTCTCATAGTTAGAAAGTTCTTCCTAATGTTCAGGTGGAATCTGCTTTCCTGTAGTTTGAAGCCAATCCTTAAAGAAGCTATCCAAAGTCCACAATCTTTTGTAGAGGGAAGGGATAATGTTCAGCAGCTTGAATAAGTTTGGATCAAAATACAAGAGTAATTCAGTGTTTCGGTGACATGGGAGCCACCACCCATCGAGTAGTAATTGGGTTTCAGCTCCAAGGAAGTCAACTTGGCCAAAGGCCGTGGGTTCTGGTGGTTGGAGAGCAACAAGAAAACATTTTTGAACTGCTATTCCATAGATTTCTTTTAGCTCTGTGGAATCTCCTGGCAACAGCTTGCTGAGCATTTACTGTAAGCATAAATCCCCACACAAGAGGCCTTTAAACAAGCAGATGGTTTTGTAAGGTTGGTTACCCCAAAGAAGAGCATTCTTGTTTGTTACAGTGACCTCAGGAGCCTCAAAGAAATCTGCAATGCAAAGGGTTCCTGAAAGATTCCCACTGAAACCACTGGTCATTCTCCCCACGCAACATGCCACCCAAAACTCTGTTTGAAACAGAGGCTACAGGCCTCTTTTAAATCTGCATGCCTTTAAATTAATTATTGTATGCAAATGAGCAGTGGCTGGTATTTTTCCTCTGGGATGAAGTGGCGGCCCAAGCCATACATCACAGCTTAAACTCATGCTGTGAAAACATTACTTAAAAACTAGCTCTCCCAGCTGCAAATTTCACCTTCAGGAAATCATGGTGACCTTCTCAAGGGTAGAATAACAGCAAACCTCTGGAGTGTTTTGTGTTGTTTCCAATCTTTCTTTATCAAATGCTGCAGCTTCAGAAGCCCATTCTGAATATTCAGTGATGAATATACTCATCTTTCTTTAGATAGCTAGATGTGATGCAGGGGGACATCCGTGCTCAGCATCCTCTCTAGTTTGGGGATTTTTAAAAAGCTAGTTGTTGCCACAAGTGGAGGATTGAATTAGACTGTGAAGAACAGCAGGACTAGAGGAGGTATAAGTTCACCCATTGCTTTGCACCAATTTTCCCCAATTTGAAGCTAATGTACTTCCTAGGAACAGGAATTATGTGTCCCCATACACAAAGCTTGAAAAATGTTTTTTTGACTACTAGAAGCCCAGCGGTCATGTTGATTTTGAAATTCTAGAATGTGTAATCAAAAAACCAACTTTTATAAATTGTACCATAGTGAGTACATTTTTGCCTTCAGGGCAGATAATAGTTTGGTAGGTGAGTAGATAGAATTTTAATTAGAAAAAATAAGGGAATTAGAGGCTTTTTAATCCTTTCCTAGTGTCCTAATGGACATGTGTGGCAAAGCAAAATCAATGTGTGGTCAAGTGTTCAACAGTGACAAATGTAAGATATTCCACTTAGGCAGAAAAAAATGAAATGCAAAGCTAAAGAATGGGGAATGCCTGGCTTGAGAGCAGTACATATGAAAAAGATCTTTAAGTCCTCGTGGACAACAAGTTAAACATGAGCCAACAATGTCATGCAGCAGCTAAAAAAAGCCAGTGGGATTTTGGCCTGCATAAATGGGAGTATACTGTCTAGATCCAGGGAATTCATGCTACCTTGGTCAGACCACATCTAGAATACTGTGTCCAATTCTGGTCACCACAATTGAAGGGGGATATTGACAAGCTGGAATGTGTCCAGAGGAGGGTGACTAAAATGATCAAGGGTCTGGAGAATAAGCCCTATGAGGGGCAGCTTAAAGAGCTGGGCATGTTTAGCCTTCAAAAGAGAAAACTGAGAGTAGACATAAAAGCTATGTATAAATATGTGAAGTCATACGGAGGAAGGAGCAAGCTTCTTTTCTGCTGTGCCGGAGATTAAGATGTGAAACAATGGCTTCAAACTAAAGGAAAGGAGATTCCATCTGAACATTAGGAAGAACTTCCTGACTGTGAGAGCCATTCAGCAGTGGAACTCTCTGCCCTGGAGTGTGGTGGAGGCTCCTTCTTTGGAGGCTTTTAAACAGATGCTGGATTGCCATCTGTCGGGGGTGCTTTGAATGTGATTTTCCTGCTTCTTGGTGGGGGTTGGACTGGATGGCCCACGAGGTCTCTTCCAACTGTATTATTCTATGATTCCAAGCTATCTGTGAAAAGTTGGAAGTTATCTCTTCCCCACTTTCCAAAAGTTGAATTCTGGTTTGCAGCCAAAAGGGCAACTGCATCATAAATCACCTGCTATACTCTCTACAGGGATCATTTGTGTTTTTAAAAACCCACAGCAGTGGGGCTCATGATGTCTGTACATCTGGCAATCTGATCTCACTTTTTCTATACTCAGCTGGCAAGTGCAGCTTGTTCCTTAGGGTTTTCCCAAGCAATAATTAATATGGGTTACTTTTATAATTGTTCAATACTTTTTCCGAATCACCTTGAGTGCCTCTGGGATTTAAAAGGTATATTGCGATTTTCTGTTCATTTTTAATAGGCAAAATCCAGTCTTTTACACACTTTGACTTCCTTGTTAATTTCAGCTGAAGAAATTTAACTCTGGTCTTGGTTTCAAACTGAAATGCATGTGACTTTAAAATGTGTTTAACTCTTCATTGTTGAAGCTCTATATTAATACTAGGCAATAGTTGCAAACCTGTTATTTATTTATTTAAACATTTATATTCCATCCTTCTCATCCCAAAGAGGACTCAGGGCAGAGCATCGCATTCCATCGCAGAACATAAAAGAACTATAAATATACACAAACATTTAAAACAGTTATATCTACTTTAAATCAGTTGTTTAAAACCATCTCAAAACACCACACTGGCTCCAGTCAGCAGAGTAGGTTTACTATTATTGCCTCATTGCATTGCCCCAAAGGCTTGGTCTCTCAGTCATGTTTTTACTATCTTTCTGAAGGACATGAAGGAGGGTGCTGATCTAGTTTCACCAGGAAGGGAGTTTGATAGCCAGGGGGCAATCACTGAGAAGGCCCCCTCTCTTATCCCCGACAAACGTGCCTGTGACGGTGGTGGGACCGAGAGCAGGGGCTCCTTAAAGATCTTATTCTTCATGATAGTTCACAGAGGGAGAAGCATTCAGAAAGGTAAATAATGCAAATCTATATTCTAAAAGTACACTGGGCTCTTGATATCCACTGTGGTTTGCTTCCAGGACTCTCAAGTGGACCCAAAATCAATGGATGCTCAAGTCCCATTGTATACAATGGTACAATAAAATTATATCCTTTATATGAAATAAAAGATCAAGATTTGCTTTTTGAATTTTTAAAATATATATATTTAACCCATGCATGGTTGATATAGAGAGCCAACTGTACCCATTTTCCAGTGAAAGTTTCCTTTTCATTGGGCATTATTCACCCCACAATAACACAAGAAAAATGTGGATAACACACACACACAACCACAACCCACCCCTCCCAAGCAGTAGTGGTGCACATTGTGTGAAAGATGAGCAATAAAATCATCAGCGTACAAATGATTTTTTAATTAGGTTTTAATCTGTGTATTTAGAGAAGTTATTTCTGTGTGAATTCCATTCTGATAATTTTTATCTTGGTGTCACAGCTGCAGTCACTAATGGCAGATGCCATGGACACCCTCGAAGGAAGGAAAAGCGATAAAGAGCGTGTCTGGAATAAAATAGAAAAGGTAAAAAAAAAGAGCAATAGAAGAAGAAATTGTCACTGCAGACGGAGCAGATATAGTGTTTGCTGAGAAGTAAAGGTCTTTCTCAGGGGTCACACTTCTTACAAAGGGCTTGCAAGTGTTTGTCACATTACTATCAGGAACTCTTGATTTGGAGAATTAAGAGCTTGTGAAGAGCCTTGTCTCCTGCATCAACATGCTCTCATCTTGTTAGTTCCTTTACTGTAAGGCCCAGCAAGGTAGATATTTACCTACAGTTATAGCATTAATTGTGACGGGGACAGTCCTCCAAAATATACCAATGTACGGGAATCGAGCAGTTTTGCGAAGAACAGCAATGAACTTTGACAATAACTGCAGTCAGAGAAGTATGAATATAGTTCATACTTCACAGATGAAAAAAAGGAATTGAAAAGTTCTGTTTTCTGTCTACCATCTCATTCAAACTCTAAACTGTGATACTGTGATTGTATAAATTAGAAAATTATGTTTTCCTTTCACATTAACCAAAGCTAAGCATGTTGTCTGAACTATGAACAGTTGCAATTTTTCATTATGTCTAATGAAAGCAAGCTCATTTCATGAACAGGTTTGAAGACACACTTCCTAAACTAAACTACTGTGAAGTTGGTTGTTTCTATTGACCATAGTTATGATTGGTTACAGTACTTCTGGGCTCAGAAGGCATGGAAAATGATTATATGTTGTTGGGTTGGATCCTGTGTTTCACTGAGAAACTTGTTGGATAGGGGATTTCTATGGTCTATGAACCAAGTATCAGGTTCATAGACCATAGGTGTTCTTACATCCATTATTGTTAATAGTAGGCCCAGTGAGTTGCAACACCTTTCTATAAACGTTGGTTATCTGTCTACTATTACCCTTTCTGGGACTGAAGTGGTGCAGTGGGTTAAACTGCTAGTCTGCAGATCTTGCTGACTGGAAGGTTGGTAGTTTGAATCTGTGGTCTGGGTGAGCTCCCATTGCTAGCCCCAGCTTCTGCCAACCTAGCAGTTAAAAAATGCAAGTTTGAGTATATCAATAGATACCACTTTGACGAGAAGGTAACGGCACTCCTTGCAGTCATGACAGCCACATGACCTTGGAGGTGTCTACGGATAATTCTGACTCTTCGGCTTAGAAATTGAGATCAGTACCACCACTAACCCCCCTCCCCCAAGTCAGACACAACTAGACTTAAGGTCAAGGGGAAACCTTTACCTTTAGCTTTTATGACCTTTTTTGGAATGAAATAGTCTTTAAATGTTGTTTTTGCACTAGCGATCTCTCAATTGGAGAATTGCAACGTGTTCTATGTAATATTCTATGTAATATAAAATTATTGGGAAGCTCCAGTTATTCTTAAATAGAGTACTTTACCAGCAGTGATGGCAGGATAAGATTTTTCCATCTGCATTTGTTTTGATGTTAATTTTGTCTTGAATTTATTATGCACTGACACTAATTAGAGTTTATGCTCTGTCCATTGTTTTTAATGTTTTCTACACTGTCCACAGAACTGTTGTCAGTGGGTGATTTAAAGTGTAGTCAGTCAATTCATTTGGAGTTAATGGAAGCAAAGCTTGTGAATGTCTCCATTGTGACTCTAGCAGGGCATGAGCCCTGAGGAAACCTAGGTTCAGCCTTATAATGTCAGACTGTGGTTGTGTGTTTACATACAACCCACTCTCTGTTGTGTGTTGTGATACAAAATAAGAACAGCTAGTGATTACCCAGATTGTGGTATGCATATTCTGGCTTCACCAGCAGAGTAGGTGAAATAAGCAAGTGAAAATGTCAGTATCTGGTTGAAAATCCTCAAAGAGGGCGTGTGTTTTCAAGGACACTTTATTTCCAATTCCTTTCCATGCTCTAGCAAGTGATATTTTTAGGCAGAGAGAAAGTACACATTTGAAAATACAGGAGCAAGGACGTATGGCACATGTGGCATATTCTCGGAAAGGTTGTCCTTAATTTACATATATTGGTTGACATCCTATTAGCAGCTTGTTCCTTTTTTGGACAGTGCACAAAAGGCTAATCTATTGCATTTATACTGTGTCTAAAAACCTTCCTCTACACAGCTTCTGTTACTGATTCTTACCAAAGGGAAAAGACAGATGATTCAGCAATAGTTTGCCTGATCTGGGCTCCTGGGGGAGGAAAAGGCAGATGCACACCACATGAAGCTGTACTATCCTTTCTCTTCCCCGACTCACAACCAAATAATAATATTAATAACAATTTTATTTCTTACCTGCCTCTCCCCGTGGCTCAAGGTAGGTTACAACATGACTAAAAACACATAATCATCTAAAACATTGTACAAAATATACATATTAAAACATATACAAAATACATATTAAAAAATACAAAACAAAGATTAAACACAAGACGCAAGTTTAAAATTTGTGATTAAAACTGGCTGGGTAGGCCTGCTGAAAGAGATAGGTCTTCCTATCTGTTTTAAATTCTGACAGCTCATTTAGCTGTCGGAGCTCTTCTGGCAGGTCGTTCCACAGCCTTGGGGCGGCTAATGAAAAGGTCCTCTGAGTTGTGGTTTCTAATTGGGATCTGACTGGTTGGAGCAGATGCCCCCCAGAGAACCTCAGTGTCTGAGGTGGATTATATGGGAGAAGACAATCCTGTAGATAACCTGGACCCAAACCATGTAAGATTTTCCATGAGAAGTCTGGCTTGCTCCCTCCCTGATCTATTTTGAGTGAAGGCCTTTTTTATTATTTGAGAATTAAATAATGTAGCAATAATATATGTTTGAGTTGGCATGCCATGCTCTATTCTCTTTCACTTGTAGTAATACTTGAAATGTATTTGTATTGTTTTTAAATATTGTTTTTAATAATTGTTTTATTTAATTGTTTTTTAACTTCGGTAAAATGAGATTTTAACTTCATATTGTTTTGGAAGCTAACTTGAATCCTAACCTGGGAGAAAAGGTAATGAATACATGCAAAAAAATAAGATATGGAATTGTGGATCTATGAATACTTGTAGAATTGTGGCCACTACCCCACTAATATATTTGCAACTGGTGACAGGGCATGCACAGTTGGGTGCGGGGGACAGTACTATTGGTTACTACCTTTGTGTTAACTTTGCAAATGTGTAACTACTTGTGCCAATGCTCTCATATATGTTGAGCATGCCTTTTTCAGAATTCCAAAATACTCTAAAATCAAATATTGTGCATTTGGTTTGCTGAATAGTGACACTTTTGCTTTCTGATGCTTCAGTGTACCTCCAGGCTATGTATATAAGGTATACACGAAGCATAAATGAATATCATGTTTTAACTTGTGTCCCGTCTCCAATATATTATGTGCAGGCAGTCCTTGAGTTACAAACATCTGACTAACAAACAACTCACAGTTTAAGAGCAAGACCACAGGAAGTGAGAGAAATCTATCCCTAGGAAGGGGAATTCACTCCCAAAAGAGTTATCATGGGGGAAAGGTGTCTCCACTGAAGCTTTGCCACCAATCCTTGTTTCCACAACAAGCTGAATTTTTAATAATTTTTCATAATCCAATTATCATAGGGACAGAAAGTGAGGTGAAATCTTCTGAACAGGGGCACAGACAGAAAAACAAACACCACAGGGATGTTAACTATTCCCTATACTATCCAAAACTAAAATATGGGCTGGATTTACACTTTAAAATGGAATTCCAACTTAAAAACAATTCAACTTAAGAACAAACCTACAGAACTTATCTTATTTGTAACTTGGTGACTGTTTGTATATGCAAATATTACAAAATTGGAGCAGGGGGGTTGGTACCCAACTAATTTCTTGTCCCAAACATTTTGAATAAGGGATACTCGACATTTATAACATAAGGACTTCACTGGATGAATGCCTATATCTTCAAAAATGTACTCATGCTGCCTGAGAGAATTTTATGAGTTATAATCCATCACCATTACAAAAAAGTAACATCTCCAAGCTCTGAATCCTTTGTATGCAGGCCCTCAGGTCTACATTAGCACTGAAACTTCATTAGATATTAAACCTAGCATTCCTATGTTCAGCCAAGTAAGACCAAGGTCTCTCAAGCTAATTAAAACTAAGTATGGTTGGAGAAAAATAAGGAATTTGGCTCTGTTTAGAATGAATATTTGTCAGGAGACTTACATACACCATCATCCTCGGACTGCACCTACAACACATATATCTAAAAGAGATAAGAAAGCAATCATGCCTTGTTTTATTGACTGGTGGCTCATGATGCATATACAGGATGCCTTCTTAGGCATATAATTTGCTTACTGTGATTTGTCCTGGAAGCATCCAGAAAACAAACACTGCCCTTTCTTCTCTGTCTTTCATCTCAAGGGATAAAGAATGTAAACTCAAGCCATTTCTGAGCTTTTGTCAACTATTTGATCTTCCATTTGCTCAGAGAGTCCACCGAAGAAGCGTTTTAGAAATAATAAGTGCAAATTGCATTGTGTTATTAATGCAATCATTGGCACTGGAATAAACACAAATTAACTAGATCTTGTTATTTACCCCCACAAACTCTCTCTTCCATATTGAAGACACAGACTGACACTCCACTGATGACAACTGGGTTTAAAGTATCCAGTAGAATTTCCATGTCTAAGTTTCCATGCAGAATTAATGAATTCAATGTGCAGTATAACACTCAACTACATTTTATCCCTAACCATATTAAAACAAGTTTTCATAGCTAGATCAGGATTTCTTAAACTCCACTCATGACCCCTTTCTATCTCAGAAATTTTTACATGACCTAGGGCACATAGATATAGTAGTTTTATTTATCGTGTCAGAAGCAAATTGAGAATACAGTTATAATGTGTTTTTGAAAACAACAAGCAAAGTTTAAAAGTTGGCATTATGCTACATTTCCTTTGACCATAAGCTGGCCACTTCGTGTGCCTCTGGTATCACTATAAGAAACTCCTCCATTGTGCATGTGGCAGAACTCAGACTGCATTATATTAAGTGGTTTGTG